TATACTTATACCCTGTGTAGTTTTACCCTGTGTGTGTGAACGGTTGGTGGTGGGAGGGGCTTCTGTCAGTGTGCCCCAGGGCAGCTGTGGCTACAGTAGTTTATCACCTGTGTTTGGAGACAGAATAATGAGACCTTGAGCGTCCTGACAGAGCTGTATGAAACGATTCATTGTTATTATTATTATTAATAAACTCAAAAGGTTTTCTGATGAGTTGAAGACTGTCGTGTCTTACTCCATGTGTTATTGATGAAGCCAAAAGTCAGGGACCTGAGCTTTAACGACGTGTAACTGTGGACGACTCACTAATTGAAGTTACCAGTAGTTTTGAACAGGAGGTTTCTCTCCCTCCGCTGTACTCTCTCTCTCTCTGTGTTTGTGTTTGAGGCCGTGAACCGTCAGAACATTCTGCAACTTTGGACAAAGACGTTTTTTAATTCCTGAAAATTGGAAAAGTTTCGGAAAGAATTCTGCATCCAACGTCAACACCATGTGGAACAAAAACCAGAGAGGCCCGAGAGGCTAATGCAGGACTGCTGCTCGCTCTGGTCTCTCTCTGGTCTCCCTCTGGTCTCCCTCTGGTCTCTCTCTGGTCTCTCTCTGGTCTCTCTCTGGTCTCTCTCTGGTCTCTCTGGTCTCTCTCTTTGGTCTCTCTCTCTGGTCTCTCTCTGGCCTCTCTCTGGTCTCTCTCTGGTCTCTCTCTGGTCTCTCTCTGGTCTTTCTGGTCTCTCTCTGGTCTCTCTCTGGTCTCTCTCTGGTCTCTCTCTGGTCTCTCTCTGGTCTCTCTCTGGTCTCTCTCTGGTCTCTCTCTGGTCTCCCTCTGGTCTCTGGTCTCCCTCTCTGGTCTCTCTCTGGTCCCTCTCTGGTCTCTCTCTGGTCTTTCTGGTCTCTCTCTGGTCTCTCTCTGGTCTCTCTCTGGTCTCTCTCTGGTCTCTCTCTGGTCTCTCTCTGGTCTCCCTCTGGTCTCTCTCTGGTCTCTCTCTGGTCTCTCTCTGGTCTCTCTCTGGTCTCCCTCTGGTCTCCCTCTGGTCTCTCTCTGGTCTCTCTCTGGTCTCCCTCTGGTCTCTCTCTGGTCTCTCTCTGGTCTCTCTCTGGTCTCTCTCTGGTCTCCCTCTGGTCTCCCTCTGGTCTCTCTCTGGTCTCTCTCTGGTCTCCCTCTGGTCTCTCTCTGGTCTCCCTCTGGTCTCTCTCTGGTCTCTCTCTGGTCTCTCTCTGGTCTCTCTCTGGTCTCCCTCTGGTCTCTCTCTGGTCTCCCTCTGGTCTCTCTCTGGTCTCTCTCTGGTCTCTCTCTGGTCTCTCTCTGGTCTCCCTCTGGTCTCTCTCTGGTCTCTCTCTGGTCTCTCTCTGGTCTCTCTCTGGTCTCTCTCTGGTCTCTCTCTGGTCTCCCTCTGGTCTCTCTCTGGTCTCTCTCTGGTCTCTCTCTGGTCTCCCTCTGGTCTCTCTCTGGTCTCCCTCTGGTCTCTCTCTGGTCTCCCTCTGGTCTCTCTCTGGTCTCTCTCTGGTCTCCCTCTGGTCTCTCTCTGGTCTCCCTCTGGTCTCTCTCTGGTCTCTCTCTGGTCTCTCTCTGGTCTCTCTCTGGTCTCTCTCTCTGGTCTCTCTCTGGTCTCTCTCTGGTCTCTCTCTGGTCTCTCTCTGGTCTCTCTCTGGTCTCTCTCTGGTCTCCCTCTGGTCTCTCTCTGGTCTCCCTCTGGTCTCTCTCTGGTCTCTCTCTGGTCTCTCTCTGGTCTCCCTCTGGTCTCTCTCTGGTCTGTCTGTGTGAGTATGCTAATACATGACTGCTGGCTTATTTTGGGGCCTGGATTTGAACCAGCGACCGCAGAGAAACAGAGGGGGGGGGGGAGGAATTCCTCTGAATAATTTACCGCTCGCCAAATATTTTTGGGCAAATATTTCACCTTCACAAAAACTGAGGATTCTGTGCAGAACACTAGAGGGAGACCAAAGAGAGACCAGTGAGAGAGACCAGAGAGACCAGTGAGAGAGACCAGAGAGAGACCAGAGAGAGAGACCAGAGAGAGAGAGACCAGAGAGACCAGTGAGAGAGACCAGAGAGAGACCAGAGAGAGACCAGTGAGAGAGACCTGAGAGAGACCAGAGAGAGGGACCAGAGAGAGAGACCAGAGAGAGAGACCAGAGAGACCAGTGAGAGAGACCAGAGAGAGAGACCAGAGAGAGACCAGAGAGAGAGACCAGAGAGACCAGTGAGAGAGACCAGAGAGAGACCAGAGAGAGACCAGTGAGAGAGACCTGAGAGAGACCAGAGAGAGGGACCAGAGAGAGAGAGACCAGAGAGACCAGTGAGAGAGACCAGAGAGAGACCAGAGAGAGACCAGTGAGAGAGACCTGAGAGAGACCAGAGAGAGGGACCAGAGAGAGAGACCAGAGAGACCAGTGAGAGAGACCAGAGAGAGACCAGAGAGAGAGAGACCAGAGAGAGAGAGACCAGAGAGACCAGTGAGAGAGACCAGAGAGAGACCAGAGAGAGACCAGTGAGAGAGACCTGAGAGAGACCAGAGAGAGGGACCAGAGAGAGAGACCAGAGAGAGAGACCAGAGAGACCAGAGAGACCAGTGAGAGAGACCAGAGAGAGAGACCAGAGAGAGACCAGAGAGAGAGACCAGAGAGACCAGTGAGAGAGACCAGAGAGAGAGACCAGAGAGAGACCAGAGAGAGAGACCAGAGAGAGACCAGAGAGAGAGACCAGAGAGAGAGACCAGAGAGAGAGAGACCAGAGAGACCTGTCTTCAAGGTAAGACCTAAACCAACTTAGGGCGGTGCCAGCGACGCCAACCCAGTCCTCTAGTCTCTGTAAGAGGATCTCACGGTCGACGGTGTCAAAGGATTTAAGAAGAAAAAAAGTTCAGGACGACAAGGGACACTAAAATCCCCACAAAATCTGACCTTTATTAAAGCTGTCAGGTTCTCTGTCAGGTTCTCTGTCAGGTTTTCTGTAGGTTCTCTGTCAGGTTCTCTGTCAGGTTCTCTGTTGGTTCTCTGTAGGTTCTCTGTCAGGTTCTCTGTAGGTTCTCTGTCAGGTTCTCTGTCAGGTTCTCTGTTGGTTCTCTGTAGGTTCTCTGTCAGGTTCTCTGTCAGGTTCTCTGTAGGTTCTCTGTCAGGTTCTCTGTCAGGTCCTCTGTCAGGTTCTCTGTAGGTTCTCTGTCAGGTTCTCTGTCAGGTTCTCTGTCAGGTTCTCTGTCAGGTTCTCTGTCAGGTTCTCTGTAGGTTCTCTGTCAGGTTCTCTGTCAGGTTCTCTGTCAGGTTCTCTGTCAGGTTCTCTGTCAGGTTCTCTGTAGGATCTCTGTCAGGTTCTCTGTCAGGTTCTCTGTCAGGTTCTCTGTCAGGTTCTCTGTCAGGTTCTCTGTCAGGTTCTCTGTCAGGTTCTCTGTTGGTTCTCTGTAGGTTCTCTGTCAGGTTCTCTGTCAGGTTCTCTGTAGGTTCTCTGTCAGGTTCTCTGTCAGGTCCTCTGTCAGGTTCTCTGTAGGTTCTCTGTCAGGTTCTCTGTCAGGTTCTCTGTCAGGTTCTCTGTCAGGTTCTCTGTCAGGTTCTCTGTCAGGTTCTCTGTCAGGTTCTCTGTCAGGTTCTCTGTAGGTTCTCTGTCAGGTTCTCTGTCAGGTTCTCTGTAGGTTCTCTGTCAGGTTCTCTGTCAGGTTCTCTGTCAGGTTCTCTGTAGGTTCTCTGTCAGGTTCTCTGTCAGGTTCTCTGTCAGGTTCTCTGTCAGGTTCTCTGTCAGGTTCTCTGTCAGGTTCTCTGTCAGGTTCTCTGTAGGATCTCTGTCAGGTTCTCTGTCAGGTTCTCTGTAGGTTCTCTGTCAGGTTCTCTGTCAGGTTCTCTGTAGGTTCTCTGTCAGGTTCTCTGTCAGGTTCTCTGTCAGGTTCTCTGTCAGGTTCTCTGTAGGTTCTCTGTCAGGTTCTCTGTCAGGTTCTCTGTCAGGTTCTCTGTCAGGTTCTCTGTCAGGTTCTCTGTAGGATCTCTGTCAGGTTCTCTGTCAGGTTCTCTGTCAGGTTCTCTGTAGGATCTCTGTCAGGTTCTCTGTCAGGTTCTCTGTCAGGTTCTCTGTCAGGTTCTCTGTCAGGTTCTCTGTCAGGTTCTCTGTCAGGTTCTCTGTTGGTTCTCTGTAGGTTCTCTGTCAGGTTCTCTGTCAGGTTCTCTGTAGGTTCTCTGTCAGGTTCTCTGTCAGGTCCTCTGTCAGGTTCTCTGTAGGTTCTCTGTCAGGTTCTCTGTCAGGTTCTCTGTCAGGTTCTCTGTCAGGTTCTCTGTCAGGTTCTCTGTCAGGTTCTCTGTCAGGTTCTCTGTCAGGTTCTCTGTCAGGTTCTCTGTAGGTTCTCTGTCAGGTTCTCTGTCAGGTTCTCTGTAGGTTCTCTGTCAGGTTCTCTGTCAGGTTCTCTGTCAGGTTCTCTGTCAGGTTCTCTGTAGGTTCTCTGTCAGGTTCTCTGTCAGGTTCTCTGTCAGGTTCTCTGTCAGGTTCTCTGTCAGGTTCTCTGTCAGGTTCTCTGTAGGATCTCTGTCAGGTTCTCTGTCAGGTTCTCTGTCAGGTTCTCTGTCAGGTTCTCTGTCAGGTTCTCTGTAGGTTCTCTGTCAGGTTCTCTGTCAGGTTCTCTGTCAGGTTCTCTGTCAGGTTCTCTGTCAGGTTCTCTGTAGGTTCTCTGTCAGGTTCTCTGTCAGGTTCTCTGTCAGGTTCTCTGTCAGGTTCTCTGTAGGTTCTCTGTCAGGTTCTCTGTCAGGTTCTCTGTCAGGTTCTCTGTCAGGTTCTCTGTAGGATCTCTGTCAGGTTCTCTGTCAGGTTCTCTGTCAGGTTCTCTGTAGGATCTCTGTCAGGTTCTCTGTCAGGTTCTCTGTCAGGTTCTCTGTAGGTTCTCTGTCAGGTTCTCTGTCAGGTTCTCTGTCAGGTTCTCTGTCAGGTTCTCTGTAGGTTCTCTGTCAGGTTCTCTGTCAGGTTCTCTGTCAGGTTCTCTGTCAGGTTCTCTGTAGGATCTCTGTCAGGTTCTCTGTCAGGTTCTCTGTCAGGTTCTCTGTAGGATCTCTGTCAGGTTCTCTGTCAGGTTCTCTGTCAGGTTCTCTGTAGGATCTTTGTCAGGTTCTCTGTAGGTTCTCTGTAGGATCTCTGTCAGGTTCTCTGTAGGTTCTCTGTAGGTTCTCTGTCAGGTTCTCTGTAGGTTCTCTGTCAGGTTCTCTGTCAGCTGAGGTTGTGCTGTTGTAATTTACATTGAGTTCTAGCCCTCGTGAATATAGGGCTGGAAAGTGTCGTCCCAGAAGCACTTCCGGTTCATGGCTCGGACACAAACAAACCGTCAGCTGTTGGAGGAGGCGGTTTAAGTGAATGGTGCAAAATGCTCTGCTTTGTTTTCGGCTGTAATTATCAAAGTTTACATGAAGCTCATTTTTTAAGTTTCCCAAAGACCAACTGAAGCTGTGGGAAAAGCTATGCAGTTCTGATAAAATATTTTGTCTGATTTCAGAGACAGTTAACTTGAACATGTATTCAAGCTAACTTGTAGCTAATGCTAACCTGTAATAGTGCGCGGCCACTATACAATATAGGGGCTTGTATTTTAAGATAAGAAACTTTATTGATGTCACACAGGATAAATATTGTCTCTCAAATATTTATCTATTTGAGAGATAAAGGAGGAACATATTAACACGTATTAAATAACATTTAACAAATGTTCAAATATAACAGAAAACGGACAATCATTCGTAGTAAATGAATAATAACCCAACTACATCATATTATTTTTGACGCACAGCAAAAAGAAAAAAGGCCCAATGTGAAGCTGCAGTGAGTGTGAAGTGGAGATGGAGCTGCTGAACAGATTAAACTGATCATTCCTAAACATTGGCTCATAACCAACGCAGCAAAGACAGCTGTAAGGGACAACATCCATTTATTTGCATAGGAATAGTGTTTCTATATTTTCTTTCTGATGCATAATAGTGGATTAAAATACAATGAGTTTGAACCATAGACTGTATGTTTGAACACGGCCCTGTGCCTTTCTCATCTCCCCGTCATATGGAAACGTCAGCACATGGTCAGTTCACAGCTAACTCCGACCGTTCACTCAGTTTTTCTGCCCCAGAGACGAAATGTGTCCAAAATAACACAGGAAAGTCCATTAACAAGGAAGAAGTCGGCGATCTCCGCACCATACAAGTGGCATGTGTGGTTTGTTTGTATCCACGGGTGGAAATCTCGCAAAATCTCGCACTTGCGCTTTCCAGCCCTATAGTCTGCAGTACCACAGCGCCCCCTGTGGCCATGGGTGGGACAGCTGTGAGCTAGTAGTACTCTATCCAGTTATTATTATAGATCCATGTGAACTACTGAGCACAGCCATTGTTTTGGACACTGGGTCTGATCCTAGTGGCTGCACTTTCCTCGGTTGAATCCCCTCCAACCAATCAGAGAGCGGAGGAGGCGGGTGTTGTAGGTCAGTGTGACATCAGAGTTTGTTCTGAATTTGCTGGTTGTAGTTTGTCGGAGAATGCGATAGTAAAATAATCTGTTCTGGTTCAATCCAAATATAAGGAATGTTTAGTAAATGTCACTGAAGCAAACATGTTGTGGCTCTACTCCCCACGGGCTCCGTTAGCGGCAAAGGAGATGCTAAAGCTAGGCTACATGCTAAAGCTAGGCTAAAAGCTACAGCTAGGCTACATGCTACAGCTAGGCTAAATGCTACAGCTAGGCTACATGCTACAGCTAGGCTACATGCTAAAGCTGGGCTAAATGCTACAGCTAGGCTAAATGCCTCACTCACTTGGGATCAGTACTGCGGGTGCCCCCTGCGGTACTGTAGAGTTAATGACACACACACACACAGACACACACAGATAGACACAGGCATGCACACACACACACGCACAGACACACACGGACACACACCTTCAGCTCCTGCATGCTCAGCTCGGTGCCGTTCTCTTTGGCGCTCTCCATGAGGACGTCCAGAGCGTCGCTGTAGTCTTTGTTCTGAGGCTTTTCTCTGATCGCTTTCTCTATGCTCCTCTGCAGGGTGTCCCGGGCCCGGATACCCTGCAACACACAGACACACAACTGTAACACAACTCACACAGAGTCAGAGGAAGACACACAATCATGCTAGAGTCAGAGGAAGACACATAATGGTGAGTGTCCCATGTAAAGAGCAGAGGACCCAGGACACATCCCTGAGGAGTCCCTCAGCACAGACCATAGACTGTATATATGAACTACAGACTGTATATATGAACTATAGACTGTATATATGAACTATAGACTGTATATATGAACTATAGACTGTATATATGAACTATAGACTGTATATATGAACTACAGACTGTATATATGAACTATAGACTGTATATATGAACTACAGACTGTATATATGAACCATAGACTGTATATATGAACCATGGACTGTATATATGAACTACAGACTGTATATATGAACTATAGACTGTATATATGAACCATGGACTGTATATATGAACTACAGACTGTATATATGAACCATGGACTGTATATATGAACTACAGACTGTATATATGAACTATAGACTGTATATATGAACTATAGACTGTATATATGAACTATAGACTGTATATATGAACTATAGACTGTATATATGAACTATAGACTGTATATATGAACTACAGACTGTATATATGAACCATAGACTGTATATATGAACCATGGACTGTATATATGAACTACAGACTGTATATATGAACTATAGACTGTATATATGAACCATGGACTGTATATATGAACTACAGACTGTATATATGAACCATGGACTGTATATATGAACTACAGACTGTATATATGAACTATATAATAATAATAATAATAATAATCTTATATAGCACTTTTAAAAACAGTGTTTACAAAGCGCTGCACAGTCAGCATGATAAACAATAACAACAGTCATAATGCAAGGTCAAAATAATTAGATACAGAAACACAAAGCAAACAGAGCAAAACACAAAAGAGACTCAACAAAGACAAAGCAGATAATAAAATACAGCATCGGAAGTTTAAAACTAACAGTTAAAAGCTGTTTGATAAAAGTGGGTTTTAAGAAGAGATTTAAAAGAGGATACTGATGGTGCGAGCCTTTAGACCATAGACTGTATATATGAACTATAGACTGTATATATGAACTATAGACTGTATATATGAACTACAGACTGTATATATGAACTACAGACTGTATATATGAACCATAGACTGTATATATGAACTATAGACTGTATATATGAACTACAGACTGTATATATGAACTACAGACTGTATATATGAACTATAGACTGTATATATGAACTATAGACTGTATATATGAACTATAGACTGTATATATGAACTACAGACTGTATATATGAACCATAGACTGTATATTTGAACCATAGACTGTATATATGAACTACAGACTGTATATATGAACTATAGACTGTATATATGAACTACAGACTGTATATATGAACTACAGACTGTATATATGAACTATAGACTGTATATATGAACTACAGACTGTATATATGAACTACAGACTGTATATATGAACTACAGACTGTATATATGAACTATCCATCCATCCATCCATGTATATGAACTATATCCATGTATATGAACTATAGACTGTATGAACTATAGACTGTATATATGAACTACAGACTGTATATATGAACTACAGACTGTATATATGAACTACAGACTGTATATATGAACTATCCATCCATCCATCCATGTATATGAACTATATCCATGTATATGAACTATAGACTGTATGAACTATAGACTGTATATATGAACTACAGACTGTATATATGAACTACAGACTGTATATATGAACTATCCATCCATCCATCCATTTTCTTCCCTTTAATCCATTTCTGGGTCAGGGGGGTGGCAATCAGAGATGCACCAGCCCCTCACTGACCCTCTGCAGGTGGTGAGTCCACAGGAGGACGGCTGCTCTCTGAGTGTGAGCAGAGCCTTGATCTTTCAGTGGGGGCTTTGGGCAAAGTGGGGTTAAGTGTCTTGCCCAAGGACACAACGACAGCAGTCATCAGTGGGAGTCGGTGGAGAAGGTGCAGAGGTGGGAATTGAACCCACAACCTTCTGGCCTTAAGGCCAATGCTCTACCAACTGAGCTACTGTCGCCCCCATATATGAACTATAGACTGTATATATGAACTACAGACTGTATATATGAACCATAGACTGTATATATGAACCATAGACTGTATATATGAACTATAGACTGTATATATGAACTATAGACTGTATATATGAACTACAGACTGTATATATGAACTACAGACTGTATATATGAACTACAGACTGTATATATGAACTATAGACTGTATATATGAACTACAGACTGTATATATGAACTACAGACTGTATATATGAACTACAGACTGTATATATGAACCATAGACTGTATATATGAACTATAGACTGTATATATGAACTATAGACTGTATATATGAACTATAGACTGTATATATGAACTACAGACTGTATATATGAACTATAGACTGTATATATGAACTACAGACTGTATATATGAACTATAGACTGTATATATGAACTATAGACTGTATATATGAACTATAGACTGTATATATGAACCATAGACTGTATATATGAACCACAGACTGTATATATGAACCATAGACTGTATATATAGACTGTATATATGAACTACAGACTGTATATATGAACTATAGACTGTATATATGAACCATAGACTGTATATATGAACCATAGACTGTATATATGAACCATAGACTGTATATATGAACCATAGACTGTATATATGAACTATAGACTGTATATATGAACTATAGACTGTATATATGAACTACAGACTGTATATATGAACTACAGACTGTATATATGAACTACAGACTGTATATATGAACTATAGACTGTATATATGAACTACAGACTGTATATATGAACTACAGACTGTATATATGAACTACAGACTGTATATATGAACCATAGACTGTATATATGAACTATAGACTGTATATATGAACTATAGACTGTATATATGAACTATAGACTGTATATATGAACTACAGACTGTATATATGAACTATAGACTGTATATATGAACTACAGACTGTATATATGAACTATAGACTGTATATATGAACTACAGACTGTATATATGAACTACAGACTGTATATATGAACTACAGACTGTATATATTAACTACAGACTGTATATATGAACTACAGACTGTATATATTAACTACAGACTGTATATATGAACTACAGACTGTACATATGAACTACAGACTGTATATATGAACTACAGACTGTATATATGAACCATAGACTGTATATATGAACTATAGACTGTATATATGAACCATAGACTGTATATATGAACCATAGACTGTATATATGAACTACAGACTGTATATATGAACTACAGACTGTATATATTAACTACAGACTGTATATATGAACTACAGACTGTATATATGAACTATAGACTGTATATATGAACTATAGACTGTATATATGAACCATAGACTGTATATATGAACCATAGACTGTATATATGAACTATAGACTGTATATATGAACTATAGACTGTATATATGAACTACAGACTGTATATATGAACTATAGACTGTATATATGAACTACAGACTGTATATATGAACTATAGACTGTATATATGAACTATAGACTGTATATATGAACTACAGACTGTATATATGAACTATAGACTGTATATATGAACTATAGACTGTATATATGAACTATAGACTGTATATATGAACTATAGACTGTATATATGAACTATAGACTGTATATATGAACTATAGACTGTATATATGAACTACAGACTGTATATATGAACTATAGACTGTATATATGAACTATAGACTGTATACATGAACTACAGACTGTATATATGAACTATAGACTGTATATATGAACTACAGACTGTATATATGAACTACAGACTGTATATATGAACTATAGACTGTATATATGAACTATAGACTGTATATATGAACTATAGACTGTATATATGAACTACAGACTGTATATATGAACCATAGACTGTATATATGAACTATAGACTGTATATATGAACTACAGACTGTATATATGAACTATAGACTGTATATATGAACTACAGACTGTATATATGAACTATAGACTGTATATATGAACTACAGACTGTATATATGAACTATAGACTGTATATATGAACTATAGACTGTATATATGAACTATAGACTGTATATATGAACCATAGACTGTATATATGAACCACAGACTGTATATATGAACCATAGACTGTATATATAGACTGTATATATGAACTATAGACTGTATATATGAACCATAGACTGTATATATGAACCATAGACTGTATATATGAACCATAGACTGTATATATGAACCATAGACTGTATATATGAACTATAGACTGTATATATGAACCATAGACTGTATATATGAACCATAGACTGTATATATGAACCATAGACTGTATATATGAACCATAGACTGTATATATGAACCATAGACTGTATATATGAACTATAGACTGTATATATGAACTACAGACTGTATATATGAACCATAGACTGTATATATGAACTATAGACTGTATATATGAACCATAGACTGTATATATGAACCATAGACTGTATATATGAACCATAGACTGTATATATGAACCATAGACTGTATATATGAACCATAGACTGTATATATGAACCATAGACTGTATATATGAACCATAGACTGTATATATGAACAGATGTAGTCACGCCTGTCTCCGTCGTTCTAACTAATGGGCCAAAAATTGGGCTTTCATGGAGTGATTCAAAATGGCCGCGGGGGCTGGTAAATGTGAAAAAACACATCTGTGCATGCGTCAGCTGCACGAGCTCCATTCATTTAAACGAGAGACTTCTAAAGTCCACAGCGACTAAACTAGACTGGTCCAGAACACTCCCTCAGCATTGACACACATGTGGAACGGAGCTTTGGGCCAAAAGCCACTTTTGGACCATGCTGTAAAGACGTTTTCCAGAGGTAAGAAGATGCTATATGTTAGCATTGGCTAATTCTCATTCCAGGTCCACCCCCACAGGCCCGGGGTGGTATTGCAGCAGCGCACAGACCCGCCCCTACAGGTCTGCACAGGGGCCAGTTGCTCAGCACAGTTTAAGGACACAGAGGGATGCAGTCCGGTCCTGTGGGTTAGTCCTGGACCAGACCCGTCGGACTTCCTCCTGAGTCACTGTGAAGGCCCCTGACATTCAGGGAAGACCACAGGCATAGCCGTTGTGTAGCAGTTGTGTAGCTGTTGTGTAGCAGGTGTGTAGCTGTTGTGTAGCAGGTGTGTAGCTGTTGTGTAGCAGTTGTGTAGCAGTACCTTCCTGTAGCCGCTGAAGGGCAGGTCCAGGGGCAGACTGAACAGATTGTCCACAAAGTCCTGGAAGGTTCTGAACCAAAGCCTCATCTCATCCTCAGAGACCCGGAACCCGAGCAGAACCCGCACCGCCATCGTGAAGGACAGGCGCTGGCTCTCCCTGAGGACACCAGGAGGATCATAATAATAATAATAATAATAATGATAATAATAATGATAATAATAATGATAATAATAATAATAATAATAATAATAATAATAATAATAATAATAATAATAATAATATTAATAATAATAATGATAATAATAATGATAATAATAATGATAATAATAATAATAATAATATTAATATTAATAATGATAATAATAATGATAATAATAATAATAATAATAATGATAATAATAATGATAATAATAATGATAATAATAATAATAATAATATTAATAATAATAATGATAATAATAATGATAATAATAATGATAATAATAATATTAATAATATTAATATTAATAATGATAATAATAATGATAATAATAATAATAATAATAATGATAATAATAATGATAATGATAATGATAATAATAATAATAATAATAATAATAATGATAATAATAATGGTAATAATAATGATAATAATAATAATAATGATAATAATAATAATAATGGTAATAATAATGATAATAATAATAATGATAATAATATTAATAATAATAATGATAATAATAATGATAATAATAATAATAATAATAATGATAATAATAATGATAATGATAATGATAATAATAATAATAATGATAATAATACATTAATTAATCAGTTTTATTCAGCGCTTTTTGGACTCTCAAAGTCTCTTCAGTACATTTTTCATTCTCTCCAAACACAGTAGTGATAAACTACTGTAGCCACAGCTGCCCTGGGGCACACTGACAGAAGCGAGGCAACCAGTCTGTGCCATCAGCCCCTCCCACCACCACCAACCACTCACACACACACCAGACTCATTCTAATGTGGGGGAAGTGTCTTCCCTAAAGACACAACCACAGTTTGGCACTTTACAGCCGCCCCACTGTGGCACCTGCTGTACCCAGAGGTCTTGCCAAGGACACAACAACATCAGACATCAGAGGGAGTCGATGGAGAAAGTCTTGTGGTGGACTCGCACCCACAACCTTCAGGCTCAAAGGCTGATGCTCTGCTGAGCCGCTGTGAGATCAGGGGGACACGGTTCTGCAACTGCACACAGGTACAAACAAGACCTGTTCATCCTGTCAGAGCTCTGAAGCTAAGCAGGGCAGGGCCTGGTTAGTGCTGTGATGGGAGACCTCTGGGAACAGCAGGTGCTACAGTGGGGCGGCTGCGGCTTTAAAGTGCCAAGCTGTGGTTGTGTCCTTGGGCAAGACACTTCCTCCACATTAGAATGAGTCTGGTGTGTGTGTGAATGGTTAATGGTGGTGGCCCTCCCACCACACGTCAGTGTGCCCCAGGGCAGCTGTGGCTACAGTAGTTTATCAGCACCGTGTTTGGAGAGAATGAAAAATGATGTAAAGAGACTTTAGGTCCAGAAAACTGTATAAACTGATGCATTATTATTAACTACACACAAGAACTACAGCCATGTATCATACTCTATCAGAGGGTGGGTCTCTCTCTGGTCTCTCTCTGGTCTCTCTCTGGTCTCTCTATGGTCTCTCGCTGGTCTCTCTCTGGTCTCTCTATGGTCTCTCTCTGGTCTCTCTCTGGTCTCTCTATGGTCTCTCTCTGGTCTCTCTATGGTCTCTCTCTGGTCTCTCTATGGTCTCTCTATGGTCTCTCTCTGGTCTCTCTCTGGTCTCTCTATGGTCTCTCTATGGTCTCTCTATGGTCTCTCTATGGTCTCTCTCTGGTCTCTCTCTGGTCTCTCTATGGTCTCTCTCTGGTCTCTCTATGGTCTCTCTCTGGTCTCTCTATGGTCTCTCTCTGGTCTCTCTCTGGTCTCTCTCTGGTCTCTCTATGGTCTCTCTATGGTCTCTCTATGGTCTCTCTCTGGTCTCTCTCTGGTCTCTCTCTGGTCTCTCTCTGGTCTCTCTGGTCTCTCTGGTCTCTCTGGTCTCTCTGGTCTCTGGTCTCTGGTACCTGTAGACGTTGATGGGGTCTGGGTTGGAGCTCCAGACCCTCAGACTCTCCTGGATCACCGTTTGGATCTTGGGTAAATACGACTGAAGCGCTTCGTGACTGAACACTTTGGCAAAAACCTGGAACACAGAAACATAAAGAGTGTAAGTAAGTAAGTACGTTTTTATTTATATACCGCCTTTTCACTGCAGATCTGAGTCTCAAAGCGGTTTACAATTGTTAATTTTGGGCATTTGTCTCTCACTCCACACAGAGATGGGAGCGGGGTCGCCAGTACAGGAGGCGCATGCCAGAACTATTGGACATATTTTTAGTGGTAGGGGAAACCGGAGTACCCGGAGGAAACCTACGCAGACACGGGGAGAACATGCAAACTCCACTCAGAAAGGCCCTGGTCCGGCCGGTATTTGAACCCAGGACCTTCTTGCTGAGAGGCGAGAGTGCTATCCACTCAGCCACCGTGCCGGACAGGAACCAGGTGTGACAGGAACCAGGTGTGACAGGTACCAGGTGTGACAGGTACCAGGTGTGACAGGTACCAGTGGTGACAGGCAACAGGGGTGACAGGTACCAGGGGTGACAGGTACCAGGTGAGACAGGTACCAGGGGTTACAGGTACCAGGTGTGACAGGAACCAGGTGTGACAGGTACCAGGTGTGACAGGTACCAGGTGTGACAGGTACCAGGTGTGACAGGTACCAGGTGTGACAGGAACCAGGTGTGACAGGTACCAGGTGTTACAGGTACCAGGTGTGACAGAAACCAGGTGTGACAGAAACCAGGTGTGACAGGAACCAGGTGTGACAGGTACCAGGTGTGACAGGTACCAGTGGTGACAGGCAACAGGGGTGACAGGTACCAGGGGTGACAGGTACCAGGTGAGACAGGTACCAGGGGTGACAGGTACCAGGTGTGACAGGCACCAGGGGTGACAGGTACCAGAGGTCACAGTAACCAGGTGTAAGAGGAAGTGACAGCTACCAGGTGTGAAAGGTACCAGGTGTGACAGGTACCAGGGGTGACAGGTACCAGGTGTGACAGGTACCAGGGGTGACAGGTACCAGGTATGACAGGTACCAGGTGTGACAGGTACCAGGGGTGACAGGCAACAGGGGTGACAGGAACCAGGAGTGACAGGTTACAGGTTTGACAGATACCAGTTGTGACAGGTACCAGGGGTGACATGGACCAGATGTCACATGTACCAGGTGTGACAAGTACCAGATGTATCCAGGCATGTTCTACTTAAAGCTGGGGTACCTAACTTTGAGCTGATTGGCTGAGAGAGAGGGGTCCTCTCTTTGTTTATTTTCTCTCTGAAAAGAGAGAGAGACCAGAGACAAACCAGAGACCAGAGGGACCAGAGACCAGAGGGACCAGAGACCAGAGGGACCAGAGATCAGAGGGACCAGAGACCAGAGGGACCAGAGGGACCAGAGAAAGACCAGAGAGAGACCAGATGTAGATGTGACAGGACAAAAAATAAATGATGTGAAAACAGTGATAGGAGAAACTGCTTTGGAGCCAGAAGTCACTGGACACATGGTGTTTCCTTCATAGTTCACTCATTCATGGTTTCAAAGTTACGTGCCTCAGACACAGAGGGAAAAGTCTGTCTGATCCTTCACACTCTATTGAAGACGACACCAGCGAATCACGGAGAGTTCTCTGTGTTCTAGTCTCATGGAATATGGCGTGCTCTGCGGTACCATGTGACTAACCATCAGAGGGTCTCGGCCAATCAGATCTTCCGCTCGGGACCCATTGAGCAGAAAACACAAACCATGTGTCGGCAAAAGCAAAACCCACAAAACAGATAATTCTGTAGATTCTGCCCATCGAGATTAGTGTCAGAGAGACCAGAAGGAGGCCAGAGAGAGACCAGAAGGAGACCAGAGAGAGACCAGAGAGAGAGACCAGAGAGAGACCAGAGAGAGACCAGAGAGAGAGAGACCAGAGAGAGACCAGAGAGAGAGACCAGAGAGAGACCAGAGAGAGACCAGAGAGAGAGAGACGAGAGAGAGACCAGAGAGAGAGACCAGAAGGAGGCCAGAGAGAGACCAGAGAGAGACCAGAGAGAGACCAGAGAGAGACCAGAGAGAGACCAGAGAGACCAGGACTCTCTCTGGTCTCTCTCTCTCTGGTCTTGCTGCCAGTGGTTCTTGTGGTTTTGTTTCTTTCACAAACCGCAGCTTTGCCTTGCGCCCTTTTATTCTGTCATTGAGCTGAATTTTCCTCTCATTTTCCCTGCGTCGCCTCCCCCTCCTCCCCCTCCTCCCCCCCCTCACCCCTCCTCACCCTCCCCCCCCCCCCTGCCCCTCCCTCACTTTCAACTCCAGAATGAATGAACAATGGGCCACAGAGCTCAAGACGCAGAACGCCTCAATATCAAACGTAAAGGAAAGAACATATGGAAAGAACTGTGTGTGTGTGTGTGTGTGTGTGTGTGTGTGTGTGTGTGTGTGTGTGTGTGTGTGTGTGTGTGTGTGTGTGTCTGTGTGTGTCTGTGTGTGTGTGTGTGTGTGTGTGTGTGTCTGTGTGTGTGTGTGTCTGTGTGTGTCTGTCTGTTCTGTGTGTGTGTGTGTGTGTCTGTGTGTGTGTGTGTCTGTGTGTGTGTGTGTGTCTGTCTGTGTTCTGTGTGTGTATGTGTGTGTGTCTGTTCTGTGTGTGTGTCTGTGTGTGTGTGTGTGTGTGTGTGTGTGTGTCTGTGTGCATGTGTGTGTGTGTGTGTATGTGTGTGTGTCTGTGTGTGTGTGTGTGTGTGTGTGTTCTGTGTGTGTGTCTGTGTGTGTGTGTGTGTGTCTGTGTGTCTGTGTGTCTGTGTGTGTGTGAGTGTCTGCAGAGGTAATGTCATGTTTTCAGTGTGTTGTGAGGACATCATGGATCTATAATAATAGCTGGATAGAATATTACTAGCTTATAGCAGTCCCACCCACGGCCACAGGGGGCGCTGTGGTACTGCTGACTGAACTCACTTTATCCAGAAACATGTCCCATAGAAGTCAGAGTAAACACAGACCTCAGCTTCTGATACTGCTACTACTGCTACTGCTACTACTGCTACTACTGCTACTACTGCTACTACTGCTGCTGCTACTACTACTACTACTGCTACTACTGCTACTACTGCTACTACTGCTGCTGCTACTACTGCTACTAATGCTACTACTACTACTGCTGCTACTGCTACTGCTGCTGCTACTACTGCTACTACTGCTACTGCTACTGCTACTACTGCTACTGCTACTGCTGCTGCTGCTACTACTACTACTACTACTACTACTACTACTGCTGCTACTGCTGCTACTACTACTGCTGCTACTGCTGTGTGTGTCTGTGCAGGAGGTGACTGCAGGTCATGACTGTGGTCTGGAGCAGAACATGCAACATCACAGAGGCACGTGTGAGAAGTTCAAGAGACGACAAACAGTAGGACTCTAGAGCAGTCAATCTGACTCTAGAGCAGTCAATCTTACTCTAGAGCAGTCAATCTGACTCTAGAGCAGTCAATCTGACGCTAGAGCAGTCAATCTGACGCTAGAGCAGTCAATCTGACTCCAGAGCAGTCAATCTGACTCTAGAGCAGTCAATCTGACTCTAGAGCAGTCAATCTTACTCTAGAGCAGTCAATCTGACTCTAGAGCAGTCAATCTTACTCTAGAGCAGTCAATCTGACTCTAGAGCAGTCAATCTTACTCTAGAGCAGTCAATCTGACTCTAGAGCAGTCAATCTGACGCTAGAGCAGTCAATCTGACGCTAGAGCAGTCAATCTGACTCCAGAGCAGTCAATCTGACTCTAGAGCAGTCAATCTGACGCTAGAGCAGTCAATCTGACGCTAGAGCAGTCAATCTGACTCCAGAGCAGTCAATCTGACTCCAGAGCAGTCAATCTGACGCTAGAGCAGTCAATCTGACGCTAGAGCAGTCAATCTGACGCTAGAGCAGTCAATCTGACTCCAGAGCAGTCAATCTGACTCCAGAGCAGTCAATCTAAAGGTAAAGGTAAAGGTGCACTTTACTAATCCCCGTCGGGCACTTCCTCCTCTGCATTTGACCCTGATGCCCTAAGGCTGACGTCAGGAGCAATGGTCGCCGTAGTAACAGCGCCCTGAACCATCTCCAGATGTTGATGCTCTGGGTCAGGACCAGAGCTGGAGGACTTAACCTGAACTGAAAGTGTTCGTTTCTGTTTCTGTTGTAAGTTATTTACAAAGTAATTAAAGGTAAACGACTTTAAAAGTAGTGTTTTCAGTTTGAATGAGAGCAGTCAAAAAGACTGCTGAGAGACTAAGACTGCTGAGAGAGACTAAGACTGCTGAGAGAGACTAAGACTGCTGAGAGACTAAGACTGCTGAGAGACTAAGACTGCTGAGAGACTAAGACTGCTGAGAGACTAAGACTGCTGAGAGAGACTAAGACTGCTGAGAGACTAAGACTGCTGAGAGACTAAGGCTGCTGAGAGACTAAGGCTGCTGAGAGACTAAGACTGCTGAGAGAGACTAAGACTGCTGAGAGAGACTAAGACTGCTGAGAGACTAAGACTGCTGAGAGACTAAGACTGCTGAGAGACTAAGACTGCTGAGAGACTAAGACTGCTGAGAGACTAAGACTGCTGAGAGAGACTAAGACTGCTGAGAGACTAAGACTGCTGAGAGACTAAGACTGCTGAGAGACTAAGACTGCTGAGAGACTAAGACTGCTGAGAGCAGTCAAAAAGACTGCTGAGAGACTAAGACTGCTGAGAGACTAAGACTGCTGAGAGAGACTATTGCTGAGAGACTAAGACTGCTGAGAGACTAAGACTGCTGAGAGAGACTAAGGCTGCTGAGAGACTAAGACTGCTGAGAGCAGTCAAAAAGACTGCTGAGAGACTAAGACTGCTGAGAGACTAAGACTGCTGAGAGAGACTAAGACTGCTGAGAGACTAAGACTGCTGAGAGACTAAGACTGCTGAGAGAGACTAAGACTGCTGAGAGCAGTCAAAAAGACTGCTGAGAGACTAAGACTGCTGAGAGACTAAGACTGCTGAGAGAGACTAAGACTGCTGAGAGACTAAGACTGCTGAGAGACTAAGACTGCTGAGAGACTGCTGAGAGCAGTCAAAAAGACTGCTGAGAGAGACTAAGACTGCTGAGAGAGACTAAGACTGCTGAGAGACTAAGACTGCTGAGAGACTAAGACTGCTGAGAGACTAAGACTGCTGAGAGAGACTAAGACTGCTGAGAGACTAAGACTGCTGAGAGACTAAGACTGCTGAGAGACTAAGACTGCTGAGAGACTAAGACTGCTGAGAGAGACTAAGACTGCTGAGAGACTAAGACTGCTGAGAGAGACTAAGACTGCTGAGAGACTAAGACTGCTGAGAGAGACTAAGACTGCTGAGAGACTAAGACTGCTGAGAGACTAAGACTGCTGAGAGACTAAGACTGCTGAGAGACTAAGACTGCTGAGAGAGACTAAGACTGCTGAGAGACTAAGACTGCTGAGAGACTAAGACTGCTGAGAGACTAAGACTGCTGAGAGACTAAGACTGCTGAGAGAGACTAAGACTGCTGAGAGACTAAGACTGCTGAGAGACTAAGACTGCTGAGAGAGACTAAGACTGCTGAGAGACTAAGACTGCTGAGAGACTAAGACTGCTGAGAGCAGTCAAACCGACTGCTCTGGGACTGACCCAGTGTTAAAGTCTGTGTTCAGAGCCAGAGTTCTAAACGCCTGTTACAGAGAACAGAGTGTTCAGAGAGAGAGGGGGGGGGGGGGGGGGGGGAGAGGAGAGAGAGAGAAGAGAGAGAGGGGGGAGGGAGAGGAGAGAGAGAGAGAGAGAGAGAGGGGGGAGGGAGAGGAGAGAGAGGGGGGAGAGTGAGATACTATTGATCCAGAAGCAGAAACACATTCATCCAAACAAACAATAAATACATCAAGTAAAGTGCATAGAGCCAGTTTCCTCCAGGTGCTCCGGTTTCCCCTACCACTAAAACATGTGCCATAGGTCTGTGGCTCCTGTACTGGCCCCGCCCATCTCTGAGAGAGAGACTGATACAACTGTGAACCGCTGTGACTCTGGACTGAGAACGGTCTATTTAAATAAACATTACTTACTCACTGACGTAGAGCACGTAGAGCCTGACGTAGAGCACGTAGAGCCTGACGTAGAGCACATAGAGCCTGACATAGAGCACGTAGAACCTGACATAGAGCACCTAGAGCCTGACGTAGAGCACCTAGAGCCTGACATAGAGCACGTAGAGCCTGACATAGAGCATGTAGAGCCTGACATAGAGCACGTAGAGCCTGACGTAGAGCACGTAGAGCCTGACATAGAGCACATAGAGCCTGACGTAGAGCCTGACATAGAGCACATAGAGCCTGACGTAGAGCATGTAGAGCCTGACGTAGAGCACGTAGAGCCTGACATAGAGCACGTAGAGCCTGACATAGAGCACGTAGAGCCTGACGTAGAGCACGTAGAGCCTGACATAGAGCACCTAGAGCCTGACATAGAGAACATAGAGCCTGACGTAGAGCACCTAGAGCCTGACATAGAGCCTGACATAGAGCCTGACGTAGAGCACGTAGAGCCTGACGTAGAGCACGTAGAGCCTGACATAGAGCATGTAGAGCCTGACATAGAGCCTGACATAGAGCACGTAGAGCCTGACGTAGAGCACGTAGAGCCTGACATAGAGCCTGACATAGAGCACATAGAGCCTGACGTAGAGCACCTAGAGCCTGACATAGAGCACGTAGAGCACCAAGAGCCTGACATAGAGCCTGACATAGAGCACGTAGAGCCTGACGTAGAGCACCTAGAGCCTGACATAGAGCACGTAGAGCACCTAGAGCCTGACATAGAGCACGTAGAGCCTGACGTAGAGCACCTAGAGCCTGACGTAGAGCACCTAGAGCCTGACATAGAGCACGTAGAGCACCTAGAGCCTGACATAGAGCACCTAGAGCCTGACATAGAGCGCGTAGAGCCTGACGTAGAGCACGTAGAGCCTGACATAGAGCCTGACATAGAGCACATAGAGCTTGACGTAGAGCACGTAGAGCCTGACGTAGAGCACGTAGAGCCTGACGTAGAGCACATAGAGCAGACAGTGTGAAACAGCAGAAGAGGTGAGTGCTAAACACTGAACACGTGGCTGAGTCGCAGTGCTGCTAACTCCCTTCACACGTCGCAGAGTCGCAGTGCTGCTAACTCGCTCCACACGCCGCAGAGTCGCAGTGCTGCTAACTCGCTCCACACGTTGCAAAGTCGCAGTGCTGCTAACTCCCTTCACACATGGCTGAGTCGCAGTGCTGCTAACTCCCTTCACACATCGCAGAGTCGCAGTGCTGCTAACTCCCTTCACACGTCGCAGAGTCGCAGTGCTGCTAACTCGCTCCACACGTCGCAGAGTCGCAGTGCTGCTAACTCCCTTCACACATCGCAGAGTCGCAGTGCTGCTAACTCCCTTCACACGTCGCAGAGTCGCAGTGCTGCTAACTCCCTTCACACGTCGCAGAGTCGCAGTGCTGCTAACTCGCTCCACACATCGCAGAGTCGCAGTGCTGCTAACTCGCTCCACACGTTGCAAAGTCGCAGTGCTGCTAACTCCCTTCACACATCGCAGAGTCGCAGTGCTGCTAACTCGCTCCACACGCCGCAGAGTCGCAGTGCTGCTAACTCCCTTCACACATGGCTGAGTCGCAGTGCTGCTAACTCCCTTCACACGTCGCAGAGTCGCAGTGCTGCTAACTCCCTTCACACATCGCAGAGTCGCAGTGCTGCTAACTCCCTTCACACATCGCAGAGTCGCAGTGCTGCTAACTCGCTCCACGCGTCGCAGAGTCGCAGTGCTGCTAACTCGCTCCACATGTGGCTGAGTCGCAGTGCTGCTAACTCGCTCCACACGTCGCAGAGTCGCAGTGCTGCTAACTCCCTTCACACGTCGCAGAGTCGCAGTGCTGCTAACTCGCTCCACACGTCGCAGAGTCGCAGTGCTGCTAACTCCCTTCACACATCGCAGAGTCGCAGTGCTGCTAACTCCCTTCACACATCGCAGAGTCGCAGTGCTGCTAACTCGCTCCACGCGTCGCAGAGTCGCAGTGCTGCTAACTCGCTCCACACGTGGCTGAGTCGCAGTGCTGCTAACTCCCTTCACACATCGCAGAGTCGCAGTGCTTCTAACTCCCTTCACACGTCGCAGAGTCACAGTGCTGCTAACTCCCTTCACACATCGCAGAGTCGCAGTGCTGCTAACTCGCTTCACACATCGCAGAGTCGCAGTGCTGCTAACTCGCTCCACGCGTCGCAAAGTCGCAGTGCTGCTAACTCCCTTCACACGTCGCAGAGTCGCAGTGCTGCTAACTCGCTCCACACGTCGCAGAGTCGCAGTGCTGCTAACTCCCTTCACACGTCGCAGAGTCGCAGTGCTGCTAACTCGCTCCACACGTCGCAGAGTCGCAGTGCTGCTAACTCTCGCTCCACACGTGGCTGAGTCGCAGTGCTGCTAACTCCCTTCACAAATCGCAGAGTCGCAGTGCTGCTAACTCGCTCCACGCGTCGCAGAGTCGCAGTGCTGCTAACTCGCTCCACACGTGGCTGAGTCGCAGTGCTGCTAACTCCCTTCACACATCGCAGAGTCGCAGTGCTTCTAACTCCCTTCACACGTCGCAGAGTCACAGTGCTGCTAACTCCCTTCACACATCGCAGAGTCGCAGTGCTGCTAACTCCCTTCACACATCGCAGAGTCGCAGTGCTGCTAACTCGCTCCACACGTCGCAGAGTCGCAGTGCTGCTAACTCGCTCCACGCGTCGCAAAGTCGCAGTGCTGCTAACTCCCTTCACACGTCGCAGAGTCGCAGTGCTGCTAACTCGCTCCACACGTCGCAGAGTCGCAGTGCTGCTAACTCCCTTCACACGTCGCAGAGTCGCAGTGCTGCTAACTCGCTCCACACGTCGCAGAGTCGCAGTGCTGCTAACTCGCTCCACACGTCGCTGAGTCGCAGTGCTGCTAACTCCCTTCACACATCGCAGAGTCGCAGTGCTTCTAACTCCCTTCACACGTCGCAGAGTCACAGTGCTGCTAACTCCCTTTACACATCGCAGAGTCGCAGTGCTGCTAACTCGCTCCACACATCGCAGAGTCGCAGTGCTTCTAACTCCCTTAACACGTCGCAGAGTCACAGTGCTGCTAACTCCCTTTACACATCGCAGAGTCGCAGTGCTGCTAACTCGCTCCACACATCGCAGAGTCGCAGTGCTGCTAACTCCCTTCACACGTCGCAGAGTCGCAGTGCTGCTAACTCGCTCCACACGTCGCAGAGTCGCAGTGCTGCTAACTCCCTTCACACATCGCAGAGTCGCAGTGCTGCTAACTCCCTTCACACGTCGCAGAGTCGCAGTGCTGCTAACTCGCTCCACACGCCGCAGAGTCGCAGTGCTGCTAACTCCCTTTACACATCGCAGAGTCGCAGTGCTGCTAACACGCTCCACACATCGCAGAGTTGCAGTGCTGCTAACTCCCTTCACACGTCGCAGAGTCGCAGTGCTGCTAACTCGCTCCACACGTCGCAGAGTCGCAGTGCTGCTAACTCGCTCCACACGCCGCAGAGCTGCTAACTCCCTTCACACGTCGCAGAGTCGCAGTGCTGCTAACTCGCTCCACACGTCGCAGAGTCGCAGTGCTGCTAACTCGCTCCACACGCCGCAGAGTCGCAGTGCTGCTAACTCGCTCCACACGTCGCAGAGTCGCAGTGCTGCTAACTCGCTCCACACGTCGCAGAGTCGCAGTGCTGCTAACTCGCTCCACACGCCGCAGAGTCGCAGTGCTGCTAACTCGCTCCACACGCCGCAGAGTCGCAGTGCTGCTAACTCGCTCCACACGTCGCAGAGTCGCAGTGCTGCTAACTCGCTCCACACGCCGCAGAGTCGCAGTGCTGCTAACTCGCTCCACATGTGTCGCAGAGTCGCAGTGCTGCTAACTCGCTCCACACGTCGCAGAGTCGCAGTGCTGCTAACTCGCTCCACACGTCGCAGAGTCGCAGTGCTGCTAACTCGCTCCACACGCCGCAGAGTCGCAGTGCTGCTAACTCCCTTCACACGTCGCAGAATCGCAGTGCTGCTAACTCGCTCCACACGCCGCAGAGTCGCAGTGCTGCTAACTCGCTCCACACGTCGCAGAGTCGCAGTGCTGCTAACTCGCTCCACACGCCGCAGAGTCGCAGTGCTGCTAACTCCCTTCACACGTCGCAGAGTCGCAGTGCTGCTAACTCGCTCCACACGTCGCAGAGTCGCAGTGCTGCTAACTCGCTCCACACGCCGCAGAGTCGCAGTGCTGCTAACTCGCTCCACACGTCGCAGAGTCGCAGTGCTGCTAACTCGCTCCACACGTCGCAGAGTCGCAGTGCTGCTAACTCGCTCCACACGTCGCAGAGTCGCAGTGCTGCTAACTCGCTCCACACGTCGCAGAGTCGCAGTGCTGCTAACTCCCTTCACACGTCGCAGAGTCGCAGTGCTGCTAACTCGCTCCACACGTCGCAGAGTCGCAGTGCTGCTAACTCGCTCCACACGCCGCAGAGTCGCAGTGCTGAAACTCGCTCCACACGTCGCAGAGTCGCAGTGCTGCTAACTCGCTCCACACGTCGCAGAGTCGCAGTGCTGCTAACTCGCTCCACACGCCGCAGAGTCGCAGTGCTGCTAACTCGCTCCACACGTCGCAGAGTCGCAGTGCTGCTAACTCGCTCCACACGTCGCAGAGTCGCAGTGCTGCTAACTCGCTCCACACATCGCAGAGTCGCAGTGCTGCTAACTCCCTTCACACGTCGCAGAGTCGCAGTGCTGCTAACTCGCTCCACACGTCGCAGAGTCGCAGTGCTGCTAACTCGCTCCACACGCCGCAGAGTCGCAGTGCTGCTAACTCCCTTCACACGTCGCAGAGTCGCAGTGCTGCTAACTCGCTCCACACGTCGCAGAGTCGCAGTGCTGCTAACTCGCTCCACACGCCGCAGAGTCGCAGTGCTGCTAACTCGCTCCACACGTCGCAGAGTCGCAGTGCTGCTAACTCGCTCCACACGTCGCAGAGTCGCAGTGCTGCTAACTCGCTCCACACGCCGCAGAGTCGCAGTGCTGCTAACTCGCTCCACACGCCGCAGAGTCGCAGTGCTGCTAACTCGCTCCACACGTCGCAGAGTCGCAGTGCTGCTAACTCGCTCCACACGCCGCAGAGTCGCAGTGCTGCTAACTCGCTCCACATGTGTCGCAGAGTCGCAGTGCTGCTAACTCGCTCCACACGTCGCAGAGTCGCAGTGCTGCTAACTCGCTCCACACGTCGCAGAGTCGCAGTGCTGCTAACTCGCTCCACACGCCGCAGAGTCGCAGTGCTGCTAACTCCCTTCACACGTCGCAGAGTCGCAGTGCTGCTAACTCGCTCCACACGTCGCAGAGTCGCAGTGCTGCTAACTCGCTCCACACGTCGCAGAGTCGCAGTGCTGCTAACTCGCTCCACACGCCGCAGAGTCGCAGTGCTGCTAACTCCCTTCACACGTCGCAGAGTCGCAGTGCTGCTAACTCCCTTCACACGTCGCAGAGTCGCAGTGCTGCTAACTCCCTTCACACGTCGCAGAGTCGCAGTGCTGCTAACTCGCTCCACACGTCGCAGAGTCGCAGTGCTGCTAACTCGCTCCACACGCCGCAGAGTCGCAGTGCTGCTAACTCGCTCCACACGTCGCAGAGTCGCAGTGCTGCTAACTCGCTCCACACGTCGCAGAGTCGCAGTGCTGCTAACTCGCTCCACACGTCGCAGAGTCGCAGTGCTGCTAACTCCCTTCACACATCGCAGAGTCGCAGTGCTGCTAACTCCCTTCACACGTCGCAGAGTCGCAGTGCTGCTAACTCGCTCCACACGTCGCAGAGTCGCAGTGCTGCTAACTCGCTCCACGCGTCGCAAAGTCGCAGTGCTGCTAACTCGCTCCACACGTCGCAGAGTCGCAGTGCTGCTAACTCCCTTCACACATCGCAGAGTCGCAGTGCTGCTAACTCCCTTCACACGTCGCAGAGTCGCAGTGCTGCTAACTCGCTCCACACGTCGCAGAGTCGCAGTGCTGCTAACTCGCTCCACACGTCGCAGAGTCCCAGTGCTGCTAACTCGCTCCACACGTCGCAGAGTCGCAGTGCTGCTAACTCCCTTCACACATCGCAGAGTCGCAGTGCTGCTAACTCCCTTCACACGTCGCAGAGTCGCAGTGCTGCTAACTCGCTCCACACGTCGCAGAGTCGCAGTGCTGCTAACTCGCTCCACACGTCGCAGAGTCGCAGTGCTGCTAACTCCCTTCACACATCGCAGAGTCGCAGTGCTGCTAACTCCCTTCACACATCGCAGAGTCGCAGTGCTGCTAACTCGCTCCACACGTCGCAGAGTCGCAGTGCTGCTAACTCCCTTCACACATCGCAGAGTCGCAGTGCTGCTAACTCGCTCCACACGTCGCAGAGTCGCAGTGCTGCTAACTCGCTCCACACGTCGCAGAGTCGCAGTGCTGCTAACTCGCTCCACATGTGTCGCATTAGAAGCACAGCAGCTCCTGCATAAGGAGCCTTTCTTCCCCCGCCTCCGTCTGCCACAAACCTGCTCCAGAGACCCAGACCCGGACCCAGAGACCCAGAGACCCAGACCCGGACCCAGAGACCCAGAGACCCAGAGACCCAGACCCGGACCCAGAGACCCAGAGACCCAGACCCGGACCCAGAGACCCAGAGACCCAGAGACCCAGACCCGGACCCAGAGACCCAGAGACCCAGAGACCCAGACCCGGACCCAGAGACCCAGAGACCCAGACCCGGACCCAGACCCAGACCCGGACCCAGACCCGGACCCAGACCCGGACCCAGACCCGGACCCAGACCCGGACCCGGACCCAGACCCAGACCCAGACCCGGACCCGGACCCAGACCCAGACCCGGACCCGGACCCGGACCCAGACCCAGACCCGGACCCGGACCCGGACCCGGACCCGGACCCGGACCCGGACCCAGACCCAGACCCAGAGACCCAGACCCAGAGACCCAGACCCAGACCCAGAGACCCAGAGACCCAGACCCAGAGACCCAGAGACCCAGACCCAGACTCAGACTGGGACCCAGACTTACAGTTGACCCGAGTGTGAGAGTTTAAAGTAGAGGTAGAAATGTCATGTTTGTAGGAACAAGCAGGAGCCCTGTTCCCACCAGCTCTACTCTACTCTTCTTCCTCCCCCTCTCTCCCCCTCTCTCCCCCTCTCTCCCCCTCTCTCTGTGTATGTATGTATTTAAAGGGGCAGAACAGACTGAAACATAGCTTCTTCTGTGTTCTTTAAGCTGCTGTCGATCCGTGGTTTTCTCAGACCCAGACTCTACAATAATAATTAGTTTTAATGGCTCCTGCCCCGCACCAGTCTTGGTCTCGGTCTCGGTCTTGGTCTCGGCTCGAGGTCGTAGTGGAAAAGTCCTCAGTGTGTTCTTCAAACAGCACTCTATGGAAAGTGGTTGGCAGCGCGAAGCCACCAAAGCCTAATGTTCTGTGAGAACCACTGTTTTTCCGCCCAAAACCACAGGCTATGAGAGACCTGGGCCCAAGTCACCACGGCAACGGCACAGGAGCCACACGTCACCACGGCAACGGCACAGGAGCCACACGTCCCCACGGCAACGGCACAGGAGCCACACGTCCCCACGGCAACGGCACAGGAGCCACACGTCACCACGGCAACGGCACAGGAGCCACACGTCACCACGGCAACGGCACAGGAGCCACACGTCACCACGACAACGGCACTGGAGCCACACGTCGCCACGGCAACGGCACGGGAGCCACACGTCACCACGGCACCGGCACAGGAGCCACACGTCACCACGGCAACAACACAGGAGCCACACGTCACCACGGCAACGGCACAGGACCAACAGTGACTGAACCCAAAACATAG